CTATATAAATGTAATGAATTATTATTATTATATTATTATGAAGTAGTGGAGCTGTGCATAAAGCCAATTGTCATATATGTTAGAGGTCACATGCCTCTGGAGCAACTAGGGGTTAAGTGTCTTGCTCAGGAACACATTGGTGTCTCAGAGTGGATTCATTGGTTCAATGGGTATGGTTCAGCGAAGTCTATAGTGGGTGAGCGAGGGTGGAGCCAAGCGGTGAGTAAGTGGGTCAAGTGCAAGTTGAGGAACACCTGTTTCTGATTGCAGTGATTGGCGTGGGGAGACCGCATATAAGCCGGATGTGGAGAACAGTCGAGGGAGAGAGTAGGACTGGGACTGCGGGTGCTACTGCCGCTGAGTTTTTGTTTTCATTTGCGTTTGGGCAGTGATCTGTGCTGCCGTTATTTCTGCTATAGTTTCTACTATGGTGAAGGTGCTCGTGCGCAACTGTTCTATTTTTCTTTAATAAAAGTACACGAGTCCCAGTCACACTGACCCTTCTTCCATCTCCACAAATTGAACAGGATTATTTGTAAACTTTATTATCTTTTTTTTTATTATGTTATCTTTATTTAGATTAGGGGCTGCACAATTAATCACAATGAAACGCACACGATTTGGCAAAGGCTGTGATTATTTAATGCGCAGCTTGTCAGTGCAGTACGGCTGATTGGTAGTAAATGCTGCTTCATCTGAATGCCAGAGGGCGCTCTCACGCAGGCACGCCAAATATGCCCCGCCGCAGAAGTACGCATCATTCCGGGCAATACCTAACGGGCATCATACTATTTGTAGCTGAATATACAGAAGATTGAAACGCTTTGATTAAACATGACTAATAAACACCACATCACACCACATGATGTGGCTTCACCACAAGAGAAGCCACATCATCTCACAGAAGGATGCTCAACTATTGTTATGAAGTGAGTTTGGAGTAAAAGCATGTTATTAAATGTAGTCTTTTGTTGGACAAGAGGTTCATAAATGCTGGAGGTGGTTCCCCAGAATTTCGCAATACATGGCCCCGGTCATCCTCTCCTTAATACAGTGCAGTCGCCCGGTCCCATGTGCAGAGCCCCAGTCCCAGGGAGATTGACAGTCATGTTTAGCTTCTTCCATTTTCTAATGATTGCTCCAACAGTGGACCTTTTTTCACCAAGCTGCATGGCAATTTCCGCGTAGCCCTTTCCAGCCTTGTGGAGGTTGTCTCTACCAGTCTCAAATAGTCTCTACCAGTCGATCTACGAGCGCCGATCCAAGTGCGCTGAACTGTGCAGAATCTCATATGGTCTGTTGTTTCCAGAAGAAACACAAACACAAACCGTTTACTTGTCTTCAATATGTACACGTAGCCTACTGTTCGCGCTCACCTTATCACCTTATTCACATCTCACCAGCGCACTTGGATCGGTGTTCGTAGATCGACTTGTAGAGACTATTTTTCCAAGATGGCTTCTTCCTGTATTCGCGAAATTTACTGTGTGTATAAATTATCTGCTTATTAAACTGTATGGACACTGACAAAGTTCTCAATGCTTCGGTTTGAATGTAGGGACCCTTTTTATGCTGTCATGTTAGTGTGGGGCTATTTTGAGCCTTTTTAGTGGTAATAACAAGCGATTTTTATTTGTCATTACTCTATGCCCTATATACTAGCGTTATAGGCTAAACTGTTTTTAGAGATAAAACTATTTACAATCGGCAATCATGGAAACAAATCTCAGATAACGGTTGACTAGGTAACAATGTGTAATTACACTAAAGGTTCATTTTGCGCCGGAGTTGTCCTTTGATCTATTTCACTACTCGTCTCTTTATGATTTTCATAACAATACAAACAGAAATAAATATTTGTTTGTAAAACGACATTTTCTGATAAAAACAGAAAATGTAAACATCTATGGTAAACATCTATGGTAAACACAGCAATTTTGCCCTCAAAGATGGCGTTTTGGCAATTTTGCCCTCAAAGATTTGCCCTCCGGGGAGGTCACGTGACATTAATTTGCCTGTGGGAACTATGTATATCATAACTAACCTGCTCTGTCTTGTCTGTCGGTCTCCGTGTCCTCTTTGCTTTGCGATTTTTCTGTGCATGACAAAACTGATGTGTGGCGTGAGAACATGTGAAAAGAGTCAATTGCGTGTCTCGCGGTGAATTTGTGAGAGTTGGCAGCTCTGAATGGCGCTAGCTTGGTGAACATCAGCGAATGCTGTCTGTCAAATTAATGTAATTCAAACTAACAATAAAAATATAATATGAACAAAAATCACCTGACATCATCCAACGTTCCTCTGGAGATCCTCTCCAGAGGAGTTGGCTCGGCTATGGCGTAGACTGTAAAAGAAATGGCTATGACTCTAGGGTTGTTGTGAAAGTAGGGGCGGAGCATAGAGAATATGCCGTTTCTCGTTTGTTACTCTAGAGTAGACCAACTCACTTTCTGGAGGTATACTGCCCCCATCTGGTATGGAATGTGGAGTATAAATTGATTTTTTGACACAAGGCACCTTTAAGTATACTTTTTTCACTAGGGGAATATTTTTTCTGGAGCTGGAGTGCTACTGGCAACTAACAATGAACTTTTGTTTGTATACTCTTGTGTACTGTATGTTAATTTTTTGTGCTTCCTTATAATTCATTTTTCATCATCAGTTTATTTGTCACTTCAGCTATGATAAAGAGAAATCCACTCTTGCGCAATGCAATATATTCATGCATTTCGGGGGTGAAGCAATGAAGGGAGGAGTGTGTTTGTTTGGGTTGATTTCAAATATCAAAAATGTTCAAAAACAATTCTTGAAAATCAAATACAGCATATATGTAGGAAAAGGTTACGGGGGCTCTGGCGAACATGGGCACTGAGCCGGCATACATCACCAGGTAGAAGTCTGTTTTTTTCACTGGAAGATTGAGTTATGACTTTTTGATTAAATAAAACATTATTATAAAAAAGAAATGTAAATGTTAAAAATTAAATGGATGAATTATTCATAATAAGATTAATAGCATGGATTAAGAAAATAGATGGGGTGATTTTTCATTTAAGATGAATGTAAACTTCATATAAAGTTACATATTCCAAACAAAAAAAGTTACTTCAATTTTATCCATTGGGATTCGACTGGATTATGAAAAGTAGACTGTGATTATGAGATTCATAAAAAGTATTTATGTTCCAAGCCCGTAAGTCTTCCGTTCATCTTTGGAACACAGTTTAATATATTTTAGATTTGGTCCGAGTGTTTTCTGTCCCTCCATTGAAAATGTATGAACGGTATACTGAAATAAAGACATCTCATCAAAGTAGTCCATTTGACATCAGTGAGTTAGCTAGAATGTTTTGAAGCATCGAAAATACATTTTGGTCCAAAAATAACAAAAACTACGACTTTATTAAACATTGCATTCTCTTCCGGTTCTGCGTTCACGAGTCCACAGTGACGATGGTGACGCAAGATGCAGCTGACGTGTTCTCTGGTTCCCTTCTGGACAAGGACAGTATACCGTACACATTTTCAATGGAGGGACAGAAAACTCTCGGACTTGGAACGACATGAAAGAGAGTCATTAATGGCATCATTTTCATTTTTGGGTGAACTAACCCTTTAAGGCTAAAACATCTTTGATGTTAGGGCTGAACGATTAATTGCATTTGCGATAAAATCGCGATATGATGAAACGCGATTTTGTAATCGCAAGGGCTGCGATTACACTGGTCACTTGACACGCGAGAGAAAAGCAGTCTGCAAGATAAAGCATCAACTTGCCACGCTACGCGGTCTGGCGTCCAGAAAAGAACAGTTTATTGTGTTATTTATTCTCTCCTCTCCTCAACAATCCTGGATCGATTCAGAGAATTTCAGAATCGAGTCTGAGCTTAGTTTTTAAACACAGATGCGTGATGACGCTGCGCGTGCTTTAGAAACGAACCGTGTTCTGAATCTGCTTGCTTCTATTTTCTCGCTCTCTCTCTTCCTCACTCACACACACGACACCGCTCGAACCTTCCAAAACATAGTAACGTTATTTTATAAAGGTCGGGGTTGAACCAAATTACAAGGACATTCGCGGGCTTCATTGAACAGGTTTTGCCGCTTTGCTTGATGTTATAACGTTACACTTGCAGTGCGCGTTCTCTCCCGCGGGTATTTTCTTTACAAATGATTCACAGAGGCATTATTTATGTATTTTGGAATGCAGTTGGCTTATATTAAAACCATGAAAGTCACTGAGAAGGCTGCTTTCATTTTAAAATACTAATGCGTGCTTTGTGAAGAGCGCTCGTGCATGCGGCCGTGAGCGACTCATTGGTAAATGTACTTGCATGTCAAAATGCTTTTATGACGCGAAATTGATGTAAACACGGTCAGTTATATCTTAAACCAACAGGACAAACCACATTTACAATTTCAAAAGAGATGTATGCATTAGTGTGAATGCAGCTTATCGTATCTAAACTGAGGGGAAATCACTCCAGCTCTTGAATGAAAAACATTCAGACAGCCTACTTTTAAATACTGAGACCACTCTTTGTTTATTGCTTGTAATGTTTTTTTTTTGTTTCTCTTTATTTACTAGCTTTTATATTTTGAAGCTATATTATTTTATATAGCCTAGGCCTATTTAAAATTCTTAACATGTAATTGGTTTAATTTAATGTTTTTTTTATATTTATTTTTTAAAGTATGTGTTTTTACACATGTAATTAAATACATATTTTAAGAGTTATTAAGATTAATTAATAAGAAAAAAAGTAGATCGGATCATGAGCTATCAAAAGATTCCCATTCCTACTGTACAATGATTTATTGCTTGTCTTTGTCGACTAATACAGAAGGTAAATAACTTTTTTTTTTAAATCGCAATCGCAATATTGGTTAAAAAAAAAAAAAAATCGCAATTAGATTATTTTCCTAAATCGTTCAGCCCTATTTGATGTGTGTATGCAGCTGTTAAGGTTTTACAGTCCGCTTCATATGTAACATCTCACCTTAATCCCGAGCACAGGCTGAGTGCTGCAGAAGAGCCCTCCACATCCTCTATGTAACCACTGTAATGACAATGACCCTGATGGAAAACAGAGAGAGAAAGAAGCCACAATAAATTCCACCAAGAACAAAAATGTAATTTTCCAAATTCCACCAAGAACAAAAATGTAATTTCAAAGACTTGACTACATTCTTGTCAAACAGCAAAATCCTTGTCATTCTAAAACTGAATGTATTTGCTTATCAGGGACAAGAACCTAGAAAGTGGGTCTGACAGCTTTACTGTTTTGGGTATAAGCAAAAACACGCTATTTTATGTGTGTGTACCTTTAAATGCAAATAAGCTGCTTTTACAAGTATACAAGGCATGATTTGTCGAGGCACAAATATTAAAAATAAAAGGATTACAATGTAAAAAATTATTATTGTGTACATAAAGATATGGTGGAATCCAACATGTCCTGTAGATGGTCTGCTTGTGCTTTAAATCTCGCACAAGAGCAGATCTGTTTCCTCTCTGGAGAAGCTTTTAGTCTTTCTGCTTGAAAATTACACCATGTAAATAGCGAATCCATCTAGGCTTGAGCACAACTGACTTTTAAAGGGAATGGGAGATGAGACTCTTGATTATTTTTTTGCACGTTATACCTAAAATGCACCCAGTGTATTCGGATACACCCCAAGTGCACTTTAGACCATGCGCTTAAATCGTTAAAATAGGACTCTAAATTTAACTTTTAAAAAGACATAATGTGAAGTTAAATGTATATTTCATATCCTTTTTAATTATCTTTAAAATTCTCTAAAATTGTTTAATAAGCTAAAGCACATGTAAAGTACTTGATTATAATTTTAACTGTAGTGTATTATTCAATATTGCATTTAAAGTTAAAAGTATTTTAAATATACTAAATTGTACTAACTTAATCATTACAAATGTGTAATTACAAATGTATTTATATTTCAGTTTACCATAAATGTTTGTCAGTATAATCAGTAGTACACTTTAACCATATTTCAAAGACAATAGAAGTATTACATATAAATATGTCATATTTAAGTGGATCAAAAAACACTCTAAAGTTCAGCTAATTGCATTTCATATCAATTTATACATTTTAAATTAATTGCAACTTTTACATTAAATTACATTTAGTTTGTTACCTCTTAAGCTTCACAAGCACTGAATCATTCTTTGTTTATTTTAATTATTGAAAGTTAACGTAAACAATTTGAATTACCTCAACAAACTACATATTTAAAAAGATCTCAAGCTTGAGTATTTGATCTCTATTTTATTCTGAAAATCTTAGTGGCAGTAATGTCTTCATTTGTGTCAGGAAAATGAAAAAGGGAGTCAATAACTTAAATGAATTATGACAATCAGCTGCTCCTATTCAGAAAAAAAATTACTGTATATAATACTGTATGGTTGTCATGAAAGTGCTTAAAACAACAGAGAGGAGTAATATTTATTCTTTTTTTTTACCCAAAATGGGGTGCATTGACTGTGCTGTACCACTGAACACTGTAATGTACTGTAATTCATTCATACTAAAAACTGGTGAGCGCTCTATGCACGTTTAGTCCACAAACGAGACTTGTGTTGACCAGCCATATCATGTGACACTCTCCAGCAAATCCTTTACAAAAACAAGGCTTCCAGAGATCGCTGTAGAATGCAAATCAATATGTGATGAAGGACTTTGAAAGAAGTTTGACAGATTTCAGTGCTGAATAAGGTTAACACTACCCCGTTTATTTGAAAATGATTAATATTTGTCAGAAATTTACAAAAGTAATCAAATCAAATGTAATCGTCAATTATTTGTGCTGTTATGGTTAAACATATTGATAATGGCATTCACTTCTACAGTAGGAAATGCAATACAGCCCCTTTTCTTAAATAGTGCAATCTTAACTTCTTCACTCAACAATTACGGGTGCATCAATTTACAAATATGATTATACACAATGCCAATAATGTTTATGTCAGTTGAATGTCCAGAACGCTTCTCAGAGAAGATAAGGCAACTTATTTAGCACAATTCACACCCAGTGGTAAATAAGGGGAGAAAACACCGAATGCTCCACATTAAACTTTCATCTTCCAACCTTTTACCACCGTGTCGATTTATTTTGATTAATAATATGTGCGAGGGTGGGAGAGAGCAAGTTGCAAGAGTTTTGTATGGCAGGCAGTAACGTTAGCCAACTAGTTTACGGTTAGACTAGGCTAGCTATTGATAACGTTACACTGACATAACATTGTTAATGCTCTGAATTCGCAGCTAATATCAATTCCATAACTTTTGATCAAGTTAAAATGTCCAGGTCAACCATAAATAATCCCACTACCTTTTAATATCATCCGATAACTAATTCAATGCCGATTTGTTGCATTTCCAACTTACCACTCGTAAAACATTGCCAGTTCAACGTGCGAGCTGCTTGTACCGCCGGAACATGTGCAGCAAAGATTCGCGTAGATTTGATACACAGACACCATATTAGGGAAAAACGGGCGGGCTAATGGAAACAAAGACACCTACATCTTGGATGCCCTTGAGGTAAGCTAAAACATATAAAAAAATAATTTCAAAGTGAACTATCCCTTTAAGTTATGTGTTGATTTTTTTTTTCATCGTTTTAACACTTTCTCTTATGCCTTGTTTATTAAACAGAGACACCCATATAGAAATCATTTGTTGGCTATTTTCTCTGGAAAGTTTAAACATTGCGTCTCTGTAGTACAAAAAAAAATTGAAGCCACAATAACTCAAACACTGGAATGAGTTTAAAGGAAAGATTGGTTTGTTTTATTTAAACAGTCAGTATTTATGAAATTCATGATGTCCACATCGGGAGGAGAGCTGTAAAGTGTCTGACAAGGCAATAATATGCAGCTGTTTCCTGTTCCGTAATAAGGAACTGTTATCAGACTTTCATATCACTACAGTCTCAAATCAGCATTTCACTAAATATCTAACTACAAGGCATTTCAGAACATTTCCAAGAAGTTTTAAGCAAAACCCAAATAGATAAAAAAAGATTTATTCCTCTTAAAATTCAATTCAATATTAAATTAATGAAATCCATCAGGAAATGCTGATTAAATAAAGTCTGACTTAATACACCTTTGCTTAAGCTTATTTGTATATATATATATACAGTATATATATATATATATATATATATAAAATAAATCTCAAGATTCAAAATTCTGGCCAGTTCATTATACCTACCTAGACTATCAACATCAACTGTAGGCAGTAGATCCTTTTCCTATTTAGCACTTAAACTTTGGAAAGGTCTCCCTTGCATTGTCCGGGAAGCAGAGACACTCTGTCAGTTTAAATCTAGACTAAAAACACTAAAGGGCTTATTTTAATAATCTGAAACACAAGTAACTTTGTTGGCGGATCTTGGGCGCTGTTGCTATTTTACCGGTGGGATAAATGACTGTTACGCCCAACACAAATATAAAGTGGGTTGGTCTGAAGTTGCTACATTACTCATAGGTGTGGTTTGAGCATAACGTGAAATAAACCATTCAGCTGTGTCATTAATCCACGACCATCACCTCATGTTGCACGGCCCCATGTTGCAAGGATCTGTACCTGGAAGCTGAAAACATCCCAGTTCTTGCATGGCCAGCATACATGGCCATAGATATCAGCATTTGTTTTTTTTTAAATACAATACAGTAAAAAGTCTTAGCTCATGAAAAATGGGGGCAAAAACAAAAGTGTTGCGTTTATAACTTTTTTTTTCAGTGTATATATCCTCCTTTAAATACTAAAATAGTGCTTGATTCAATTTAATGAATTATTCATTCATACCGTGTGTGCGTTGTTTTGGTAGGAAGAGCTGTACATCAGCTTATGTCAACAGATTGAAGACTCTCATTGTTTGAATGAAGCAGATTGTTCAAGGTAATTTGAGTTTATACTCGCTGTACAACCTATAAAATACTAATTACCTTTCCAAATGACCAATTCAAAAGAATTTTGTGAAGATTTTACTTGATACAATACTGTTAAATTTACTACCGATTTGTGAGTGAAAATTGCTTCTTAGCTCTTTTCCAAGTAAATCAAACTCCAAATGTTTTACAGTATAGGTGAACTTAGACAGCAAGCCAGCACAATGAAAGAAAGCATGACAAATCTCAATTGCACGTTGCAAACTGAGTGACTTCATTCAGGTCAGGGCCAGTGACTCATGTTGCATCTCTAAGCAGACATTCATCAGTGAACACAACGATAAAGAACTTGATTAAGAATGTGCTTCCCCACTCTCATTTCACTCTTTCCACACTGTAAAAATATTTTTCAAAGTTGTAAATAAAACAAAGACTACTGGAGTATGTTTTACAAGAATGCATGTTCCTTGCCATTTCATTGTAATTGTTTGTGAAATTTACAAGCAATTTTTGAGCGAAAATTGTTTCTACACCAAATTCTTTCAGTGCATATACATTCTGCTGCATTCTTTTTATATGTTTTGTGCCTCTATAACTTCTTACAGTGGTGTAAAACTGAATTCCAGTTAGTGTGAGTAATGCAGCTCTTCCCAGAACTACTCCACTGCTCTTGGCAATGCATCAGATGCTGTGTGTGTGTGTTTGGTCACGGCTCTGAGAAAAGCGCATCAACAATTACAACAGCAGACAATACCACATTGATGATACATGGCAGCTGTTCTCACCTGCATTCTGTGGTTTCATTTTTGTTGTACGAAAGAATATATTAGCATTACATTTCTGATTGTCAGTGCTGTATTTTTTGTGTCTATAAAATGCCTGATTTGAGTGTTCTTGGTCTCACATCCTGTGAGTCTGTGCATTCAAATCCGAGTCAAATATAAATAAACCAATCCTCAAACTCTCAGTGCAGACCGACGGTGATGCTAGGTAGACATCCAGTTAAAGTGTAAAATAGAAAATATAATATATAATTTAATATATATATATATATTAAAAAATATATATAGCATTCAGCTATATATCTGCATTCATATGCAAATACGTATTTGTTTGTTTTTAAAATATACTAATAAGACAATTAAATTATATATATAAATAATTTTGATGAAAATTACTTAGACAGCTGCTGTAAAATAACTTGACAGATGTGCTGGTGTGGCGTTTGGTGACTTACCGTCATGTTTGGTCTCTCTGTGACCAGGGAGCCATCTTTGGCATAAGAGTACACAGTGAAATCCTCTGGAAGAAGCAATCTGAGAGGAAAAAATAAAACACACGCACCACTATGTAAGGATTCATATACTCTATTAATACACATTTAATATACCGTGTAGATCCATAAAATTATTGTTTAAAAGTTTTGGTCAGTATTTTCTTTAAGGTATTAATATTCAATTAAAGTATTAATTCATATTTTATGCAGTTCTGTTTTGGTTTGAGTTCTGAGTTCTGGTTTGGTTTTAAAGTCAAGTCGGTCTGGTTATTTTCCAGTTATTATTTGGTTCTGTTTTCTTGTATTGATTTATTACTTTTTGTAATAAACTGCAATTGGGTTCATCTTCAACTTGCCTCCAGTGGACAAGTTACACAATATTAATGATGTTTGTTCAAAGGGATAATTCACCTCTGTAAAGATGAATGTGTATTTAAAATTGGTTATTTATGTAGAGGAAATGTGAAATTATTTTAGAATCTGGAGCCTTCTAGTCTGACAAAAGCCAGAAAAAGTAATTTTGGCTTATGCGGATGAAAGACAACAACTCCCAGAATGCACTTGCTTCGCTGCCCTAGGAGGCCACGCCTACTGGTAACAGAGCACAGTAGTTTACAGTAGTTTTGTGGTTCGACTTGTCAAGACTGTTTTCCAAAGCTACTGCCTATATACGCTGTACACTTACAAAGTTCCCAATGCTTCGTTTTGCATTTAGAGATCCTCATTATGTTACTGTGTTTGTGTGGGGCTATTTTGAGACTTGTTAGTGCCATTAACTAGAGATTTCTTTTTACTTATTAAATGCCCCCATATACTAGTGTTATACACTAAACAGTTTTTAGAGATAAAACTCTTTACATTCGATAATCATGAAAACAAATCTCAGAGAACGGTCGACTAGGTACCAATGTGTTATTAGACAAAAGGTTCATTTTGTGCTGGAGTTCTCCTTTAAGATTTTGAGTTCCTCTTTTCTGCTTCCTCTATTTTTGTTTTCCAAAGAATTCAAACAAGGGAGAGATATAATCATACAGATGTCAAAAAAATCAGGGGTTTGAGTTCACCGGATGGGCACGGGCTTGTTCTAGGATTGTTTAAGATCTTGGGTGATCTGAGAAGGCCACACACTGTGTAAAAAACTTTAATATCTGGTGATGAGCTGACCTTTGTCACATCTTCTCTGCAAAAGACTATAAGCATAGCTGGAAATCATCAACTTTTCTTAAAGAATAACCACACCTGCCACAACACATTTAAGACTGACTGTCAAACTCACTGTGATATGTGGTCACACGCTGTGTTATTTATATCTTATATCAAAATGTGAAGCAATTCACCCTTGTTAATGGTACAATTTATTTATTTTTACTTTGAAGGCACATCTTCAAATCATCCCCTAGCTCTGCATTCAAAAAACAACAAAATGTCAAACTAAGAGGACAAGAATATTTGGTTGCACTTTTATTTAAAGTGTTTAGCAGTATAATTAATTAACAACTTATAGTAACATCAATTAACAACTTATAGTAAAAATAGTAAAATAGTAATAGTAAAAACGTGTTATAAGGACAGTGTAAAATAAAGTGTTAACAAATGTTTTGCTACTCGAGTATTCTAAATATTAAAATGAAGAGCACAGAGTGTTCAGGGGACGCATTAAGGAGTATTGGAAAATGTATCTGACATGAGACGCATTATGTGTGATTGATGAATTATGAATTATGTGGTGATTGTCCAACAAGGTCTGCCTACATGTAGCAATATTTAAAATAGCTTAGGAAATACATAAAGAGCAGACATTTTTTTACATTGAGAACTTTTGGTGCTTTTCTACATTGTTATGTACAAATACACAAAGCATTGTACAATAGTGAACAAGTCCAAATTCTAAAACCATTCTGGAAAGGATGACACAAGAAAAAAAATAAAATAAATTAAGCTCAGTCTATGCCAAGCCTTAACTTGAATGAGGCCCAAATGCTGACAGATGGAAAAGCTGACAGTATATCGTCCCATTCTGCACAAGCTTCTGATTTACAACAAGAACAATCTATTTAATAACCATAATGTAATTAATCTAAGGAAGGTCTAGATATTAGGAATGCAGGACATACATTAGGCTTTTCACAAATAATAATATTAATTAATGTTAAAAATCAATATGCTAATGCTTTCACCAAGGCTGGATTTATTTAATAAAAATTGTAGCATTATGAAATATTATTACAACTTAAAATAACTGTTTTCTATATGAATACATTTTAAAATGTGATGTATTCCTGCGAGCCCACCTAAATAAAGCCTTTGTAGATCTCGAAATCTTGAGTGCCTTGGCTTCATATGTTTTTCTCATTGAACATACAGTAGTAACCTAGGCTTATGTTGACCCAGTGTTTCTTAACCCTGTTCGTGGAGGCACACCAACAGTGCTCATTTTCAAACTATAAAGGAGACACCAAAATGTGTAGGCTTGGTGTACCTTCAGGAAAAGGTTTGGGAAACAAAGTTTAAACCCAAGGTAACCTTGGTTTAAAAATTACTACTTGTAAAAAGCACTTTTTTTTTTTTTTTTTTTTTTTTTACATTTTGGCTACAAGATTAAACATTGTGAACATCTCACCATTTGTTCTCTGTTTACCCTGCCTGTGCAATTTAAATCAAATCTTTGGGAAAGCATATCAATTGACTTTAGGAGAGAAAGCAAGAGAAGCAGAAGAAAAATACTCACTCATTTCTCTCCAGAATGACGACATGTTCTTTTCCTTGAGCTTGGATTATGTATGACACCTTAGAAAAAAGGGGAGAAAAATTACAGAAACCATCACCTCACTACTCATTTACAGGTAAAAAAAACAAAACAAAAACAAAAAATAAACAGCACAGAGATGCAATAAAAAGACTCTAAAAATTTTTATTGGAGTTTAATACATAAATGTATTAAGTGTGAAGGGTAGTTTTGTAAGTATACTGTCCTAATTCATGAAACAAAGCATAGCACATCGGGTGGTGATGGCACAGTGGATAAGACACATGCCTTTGGTGTGAGAGACCCGGGTTTGAATTCACTGTGAGACACCAATGTGTCCCTGAGCAAGACACTTAACCCCCAGATGCTCCAGAGGCGTGCGACTTCTGACATATATAGCAATTGTAAGTCGCTTTGGATAAAAGCGTCAGCTACATGAATAAATGTAAAAATGTGCATCTAGCATTGCATTTCTGCTATAGTTTATGTGATCTCTTTTCCATCTCCACTGAATTATGTTTGACGTAGTACATTTGTGATGAAACCAGACAAATAGGATACTTTCGTTTAGCCCAGGGGTTTTGGAAACCCATTTGTGAGTCGCAGAGTGGGAAAAAGGTAGATCATGTGCAGTCGCATTTCAGTGAATAACCCACACACAAACCAAAACAGTTTAGTAGGGCTGCACAAAATAGAAATCCCAATATTGCTTAGTGCTAAATTTGAATCGCAAATGTTGCAAAATAATTACATAAATTTATTACACGACTCTGTGTAATTCTTGATTCTGATTGGACAATCGCGCCATCCAGCGCTATGTTGTTCCCATATCACAACTGCTAAAAACAGATAACAGAGGCTCATCCAGTGTTACAGACGTAAGCAGCGCTAAAAGCTTGCTCGTTTTTTTCTTCGTGGAAGTTTAGGAATTGGTGAGCTAATAAAATATTAAAACTCATAAGTCGAATCAATATTTTGTGTACAGTTATTTAATTATGCCATCCAGTATCGTGAACTCGCTTGCTCTTGTTTCATACAAACGCAGCTGCTGCCATTTTGTTACTATTGTTTTGTACACTCTTTATACTAATACTGTGTTCGCCTTCAGAACTGCCTTAATTCTATGTTGCATTGATTCAACAAGGTGCTGAAAGCATTTTTTAGAAATGTTGGCCCATATTGATAGGATAGCATCTTGCAGTTGATGGAGATTTGTGGGATTCACATCCTGGGCACGAAGCTCGCGTTCCATCACATCCCAAAGATGCTCTATTGGGTTGATCTGGTGACTGTGGGGGCCATTTTAGTACAGTCAACTCATTGTCACGTTCAAGAAACCAATTAGAAATGATTTGAGCTTTGTGACATGGTGCATTATCCTGCTGGATAAAGGGATGGACATGGTCAGAAACAATGCCCAGGCCATGGTATTTAATGATGCCCAATTGGCACTAAGGGGCCTTAAGTGTGCCACGAAACATCCTCCAGACCATTACATTACGCTAAAAACTACATTTAACATTTTAAATGTAACATTTGCTAACATTTTATCTGATATTTACAGCTATTTTAGCAGTGATCTGACAAACATGTCTTTGACTTACCTTAAACCCTGTAATATTATGGATAGAGCTTTTTAAAGTTAGCATGAAAAGGAAGTTGCGATAGACCTTTCTTCTCTATTGTGATGTATATCCAAGTAAAACGGCTTCTCAAACAAGAAACAATACAGGGTGGGTGATTTTATTTTTATTTTCAAAATTCTTTTGAAATGCAAGGATTTTAAGAGCTACTTCATGGAAAATTCTAAACCACCTCATAAACAGTCACAAACAGATTTGCTATTGTTTATTAAAACTAAATTGAAGTTAAAATAAAGCTGAAATATATAAAATATAACATAAATGTTAGATTAAAAACTTTAATGAAAAATATAAATATTGCTCTGGCAACTAAACAAAATTAAATTAGGGTTTAAATTGAAGTACCAAAATGAGATTATATGACCAAAAGCTAAAACCAAAATAAATATAAATTAAAGCTAAATAGGTGATATACATCAAAATAAAGAAGAAAAGTATATCGCTACGCCCGTTTCATGCTGACTTTAAAAGGTGCCATGGCTTAGTGGAAGATTATGAGTGAATGATAACTTTTTGTCTGAAATTTGTCTCATAAATCTTGGACTTGGACAATTATTGTGAAATTATTGTGGACAATTATTGTGAAATTATTGTGCTAATCTTCCATTCCTTTCTTTTTTCTTTCTAGAAAACGGTTTACCATTACCATAATGATCGTTTTCCAGCAAGAAACCTTGATTAACATCATAACTGGAATTCAGGAGGAAAACATTTTAAAAAGTGTAAATTGGCACTTTTGTTGTCTTTTTGTTGTTTTATTTGTAAAATATTCTTTTACAAATAAAAAAACATTTATTTGCAAACAAATTCATCAATTCTTTTGTGTTTTGTGTTGTGAATGTTCCTGGTTTATAAATGGAGTTACGGGTTTCAAGGCTATGCCAGGCTATGTCTTCCCTCTCATTCTCTTCTTCTCAAACTCATTTTCTCATGATCTACCAAACTCTGAGTACACTGTTTCTCAATGACATAGAGGTCAGAGGAATATTGAGTGTTTATTTGTGCCATGCTGGTGGTATGCGTCTCTCAGCGTGGTCTTTTAATAACTACGCCCACGCTGCTGGGCACGTGTGCCTGCCAGATGGTTCCTGTGGCAGTGTCTTTGAAGCACCGCTGGTGTAGATGGATATGATATCAGAAAAATGGAAAAAGGAGGCGAGGACATACATAGAATAAAAGGGACAAGCTAAAGATACCATCAACGCACACAGTTAATGTCAAGTAACTCTGGTGTTTGGTAAGGTTGTTTACCTTCTCTGCACTGTCCTGGTCTCTTCTATGTCTGCTGATGCGTCTCGGTACAGTCACCTCATAAGAAGAGAGCTGAGAGGTCTGCTGAGTTATTGAGCCTATGAACAGAAACGGTCCCATCACAACACAGTCTACCCATAAGACCAATACACACACAACAAATTATACAATACAGAAAAATTTGCACTGTATAATCAATTCCCATTCATTTATACAGCTAATTTCCTACATTATTCCTCTCATTGCAACAAAATATATTTATATGAAACTACTATTGTGATCATGGGTGATTAGATTGAGTGCAATTGACTGGTTGTAAGTGCAATCAAGTGCTCAGTGTTTTTTTTATGTTGGTGAAAAAAGTGCTGCACGGGCATGAAGAGAGGAAAACCTCAGGAAGGAGAGGCATCCTACCAACTTCTGAGTCATCAGTTTACAAGTTGGATGAGACATCCTTTGCTGTTTTCCCGAAAAGAGTAGATAAGACAGAACAATTCATAATGCTTGTGTTCCTTTACTGAACATTCACAAAAAAAATCTCAGACAACCATTTATCTTTATCTTCAGACATTCACCATCATTCTCAGCTCAAAACATGCCCTCAATTTCTCCAATAGCCCGTGTTAGCACTCGTGTGGGAGTCTCTCTGTTTCTATACATGAAACGCTAAAATAAGTGTAAGCGGACACTTTTAAATCGACTTACAGTTGACTTATTACACAGAGCTTAAAGGGTCTGATGGCCCACAGCCAATGAAAGAGTATTTCTGGGCCAGTTGACAGAACGGTCATGTGCTATAGCCTATCAGGCCAGTGCTGCACTGTCACTACACCTTCATTTACTGATCATCTACATGCGTTGTTATGCCATGGATGCAAAATAAAACTTAGAAAATGTGAAAATAATATTATATATACTACATTATAGATAATTGCCAGTTATTAGCTAAAGCAAATTAAACAAAAATATATATTTTTTTACAAAGAAATTAAAACATTTAACTAACCTATACATATATTTAAACATGTTAAAAAAATAAAAAATAAAATAAAAGTAAATACACAATATATTTACACACATGTTAATAAACTGATATAAAAATATATGTACCGTATTTTACTTTACTACATTTTCCTGTTGTCCTGTTTTTTGGGGTTTTTTTTTACAGTTTATAAGGTTCACTCAACCAGGACAACATCCTTGTTCAAATTATGGGAAAGTGTTGGAAAAGATGTTATTCTACTGGGTTGAGCAAATTAAAAGTGCCAGAAATGACTTAAATACTGTACATTTCATATTGATCTTTAAAGTAAAAGCCCTTTAGACTCAAGTGCGAGGAGATGCCTATAAATTCAGAATTAACCCAAATATGCTATTATTAAACTGCTTAAGCTTCTTAAACTTACACACGGCCAGAAGAGGCAGAGATGAAGGTATATCTACACCGGGCAGACACAATATTCTTTCTTATCAAAATAAAACATTTCTATAGGATAGACAATGTACATTACTGCAAAACATGAAAGGCTCAAACAAACATAGATTTGTCCTTCAAACAGAGAAACACCAATCTTGTAATGTTATGTGCATGTCTTTTGGAAAGCTAGTGTTTTTAATACAAATAAACAAATATAAAAGTAAATGAATAAGCCTTTTTTACTTTTATTCCTACTAACTAGCACCTACTTTTGTCTTAAATGTTTTTTTAACAGTCACTATAAAGTTTTTTATATCACAACTGTATTAATTTTTTCACTAAAAAAATATTCATAGTATTGCTTTGATATTCTATTGTATTGTTACTGGTTAATATTGCCATCATATACTGTGGCTCTGTGGTTTACATAATCCCTATTCACTATAATGACCAATTGCTGCTTATTGTGCTATGAATGGAGATAGGAGCAGGCTTCACTCAATGATTGCACTTAAATTTTTAAGAATGCTGGCCTGATCATTAGAATAATATACAGGAAAGAGGCCGCACTATGCATAAACTGTTTCTTTTGCTTTATTGTGTATTTACTGACATGTCCTTGCGGGCTTTTTTATGTGGGTAAAAACGAAGAGACAATTGAAAACTCGAATTTTCAAGCATAAATGCGCTATCAGAAAGTATGATGACAAATCATCAGTCGCAAGACATTTCAATTCTGCGGGACATAATGCCAATATGCTCAAATTTATGGGTCTAGAGTGTGTCAATGCCTGTCTTCAAGAGGAAGAGACCGTGAGAATCGCCTCCTTCAAAGAGAGGCTTGGTACATTTTTAGTTTAAACACATGTATCTCCAATGGAATGAATGAAGATCTGTCACTAAGCTGTTTCCTGTAAACATAACTCTAGCATGTGTATTCTATGTTGATTCTAAATATTATAACAGCCTTTGTCTTTCACTAATGGACTGATTGAAACATTGGTAACATGCATACATTTAAAATTATTGGTTAATGTGAATATGGGTGTGTCAATTGTTGTGGGTATATAAGATTGGGTACATAGTTATCTTGTTGCACACGGAAGAAACACGTTTGTGCAAAATAAACAGTTTAAACAGCATCTTTCCTGCTAATTTAATAATAATTATATGTTTACGTTTAAACACGTAAACTTCAGAGATTACGGTATTTGTAAAACGCTAAAAAATGTGTGTGTGTATATATATATATATATATATATATATATACACACTGTATATTTGTCATATTCAACACTTTTAAAAAATATATATACTGTGTATATATATATATATATATATATATATATATATATATATATGAATATATTAATAAGTGTTGAATATGACAAATATGCAGTCCTACATTTACATTTAATGGTTGCCAAGTTTTAGTTCTACTTATAAAAGTTCATATTAAACGTGTTTATGGTTTCAAACAATATCATAAATATTTTAAAATATATAATATAGAAGAAAAAAAAGTAGGCTACTGGCCATACTGATTATTTTACCGGCATGTCTGTAGAGGGTTGTCAAATTAAAAAATGTTCAACCAATATTTTGGAATACACACTAATGAAGATACTAGTGTCCATTGGTACTTGAAAAATTGGAATAGATACTAGTATGCACATGAATAGTAGACTGTAAAAGAAGACATAGGCTAGCCTCCTAGTTGGAAGTTGGCTACAGATTCTAATAGCAAAAAAAACAATAGAAGCAAGCAAAGGTAACATGAATACATACATAGACTAGTGACTAAATGAATAGGTGCTAGCCATCTGAATGAATGAAGTTCTAATATAATGAATAGTTTATCTAGTCTAGTGGTAGTTTCTATCTAATATTCTATAGTTTCTAATGGAACTGAAAAAAATACTAGTCAATATTATACTATTTCTCAGAATGTAGCAACATAACAATAGCTATAATTTACTTTAAGTGTCATTGTGGTGCCTATTCATTCAAACAGTCAACATTGGTAAGTGTTGTGGACAATGTTATGACTCGCAATGGTGTCCGTCGCTGTTCTCTCACCTCCACTGCTTTCGATGAGCGCGTGAAGCATTAACCACATAAAAGCGTTTTTAACAAGACGTGAACAAACTGTATTAACCATGTCTGTAAAGTATCCGTATTCAAATGCCGTTCCGAAGTAACGTCAAATGTTGCCCTCTCTTCCTTATCCAGGCGTTGTCCTCCAAGCAATGGCAATGAGCCCGCTCCACATTACGTTCCAGTAGAGAAAAACGGCACAGTTTCAGCTACCTGCTCATTTTGTAACAATTTATCCTCCTGTTATAAGTTTGTTTAACAGTTCGTCACAGATCGCTGATCAGGATGTGTTTGTATAGCAGAAAAGGGGTCCCGTTTCAGTTCTCTGTTCGAAATCTTCGGATTAGGCAATTCGCTCGGACTTGCATCTCCAATGAGCCCCGTCTGTAGAGGGCGAAACCGAGCATGCGTCACGAAATGCTCGGTTTCGTCTTTTTAACCCTTTACTCTAGCCTGATATGGCAATGCAAACTAGTAGAACACTAATTCGTATGAGCTTTTAACTTACTTTTACCCGCACACAAAAAATATCCACTCTTTTGCAAAAAAGAACACTTTTTATCAGCTATTGTTGCTAGCAGTTTAGAATATGAGTTAGGGATAGTCTAAAAACTACACAACATTTAATTATTTTTCTAACGAGAATAACAGCGATGTTTCTCTCTTTTACAACGACTATTGTTTAATTGCAGTTGAGTGAGGTTGATCAATCACTGTCACCAAGGAAGCAAAAAATTACAGAAATTTTATGATACAGAACGAAGCTACAAATAATGTAATTTGACTCGGTCCACAGGTAAGTATCGCATATTATCGCGAGAGTTCAAACAAGCAGCCGACGCTTTGAGTCACATCATTCTCTGGTCACATCTTAAATTTATCCTTATTTTATGACGACTGGTATTAGGTTAGTATAATTGTTGATGGAATTTTAAATGAGTGTAGATATATACGTTAAATAGTAATAACAATGTTTAATTAACTCGGAAGACTTAACTTGCTAACATTTAACGGATAAGTTACGTACAAACAGGGTGACATTCATTCCTTAGCTAATGCTCAAATTATATAGCTAATGATCAAATTATAGAAGTATTGTGTTTTGAAAGTTATATTCCAGATAATATAAGTAGCCAAAGTATTCTACTGAACAGTTGTTTTTACGATAGCTAACAGTAGAGGTTATGCAGATCATTGTATTTGATTGTGTTTTCTTTAAGCACCCGTATATAAAGTAAGATGGCTTAAAGAAATAGAGAATAACATATTTTTGTGGATTTTCTTTGTTTTTTAAGTGTGATGATGCCTAAACATGCTGCCTCCGTAGGAAGCCACTAGATCTGAAACAGAACAATATTAATCATATCATATGCATTATGTTGTATAGTGAAATTAGGGCAGCTTCAATATGGATTCAACGTCAAAAATATTGGAGGAAAACTTAGAGAAGATTTTGAAGGGTGAGGGGCTTGAGTTGGGAGAGTTTGATTTAGCCCCGGAAGTGAAACCTGTCACACTGAGGAAAAACGTTTGTTACATTGTCAGCGCAGTGATCTTCAACTCAAAGGTAAAGACATTCTTGCATATCTTTAAAGTTTCCTTCTCTAAGTTGTCCTCTTATTATAACAGTCCGTCCCCTGCCGAACTGCACCGAATTAGTTCCACTAATGAGCAGTACAATTTCACTGGGAGCATGAAAAAATAAAACAAATGCACTATCCCATTCCAGAGTTATTTTATGTTGCACATATTCACAGTTTTTAAGATATCCATACCATATTCAAGCCATGGGAAAGTTTGATATGCTTAATATTTCAATTAATGATTATTATTATTTTTATTTCAGGTTTTTCCATTTTCCAAAAAATTGAGTATAATATGAATTCTAATTTCAATATATAATTAAATATTCTAATAATAATATTCTATTGATACATATAGCCTATAGGAAACTACTTCTGGTGAACACAAAAGAAGATGTTTTGAAGAATGTCGGTAACCACACAGTTGATGGATCCCATTGACTTCCAAAAAAAAAAATACTATGAAATTCAATGGGGTCAATCAACTGTGTGGTTGCCGACATTCTTCAAAACATCTTCTTTTGTGTTCACCAGAAAATAAAAATTCAGGTTTGAAACAACTTGAGGGTTAATAAGTGATGACAGTTGAGCTGAACAGATGACTGTTATTTGAACCACTGGCACACATTAACTTAAATTTGGGGAAATATACTTTATTTAATAATTCATGGCTAATCTTTAACCTAAATTGTGTAGATGTTTTATGTAATGCCAATTCACCTGCATGTACAGTATGATGCACATTTTTATAAGTAGATTTTGCAAAACAGTTTTGTAGCATAAAATTTGCTAAATATTTTAGTAACACTTCAACAGTGTCATTGTTACACGTTACATGTAGTCACTATAGTAATAACTATGTATTATGTCTAATTACATTCCCTAAACCAAACACTAGTACTCTAACCTTACATGTAGTTAATTAATATCACTCAATGTATAACTACACTCTAAAGTGGACATTAATTCCACTACACATAATGTAATATAACATTGATTAATGTCAACTTCCTCAGACATAAACGTTTTGCATGTGTGTTTGCTTGTGTTATACAGGAGGAGGTGTTACTTGTTCAGGAGGCAAAGAGAGACTGTTATGGCAGATGGTACCTCCCTGCAGGTCGTATGGAAGTGGGTGAAAGCATTGTAGAGGCACTGCAGAGGGAGGTCAAAGAGGAGGCAGGAATAGACTGCCAGCCAATCACACTGCTCCAGGTTCAAGAACAAGGGCCACAGTGGGTTCGCTTCACCTTCCTCGCTGAGGAAACAGGTTAGTATGAATGATTGATTTTCAGGGCTGCACATTATATATCGAAATGAAGTTGATATCACAATATGGCACAATATGTGCAGTTGTCAAATCGCCCAGGCTGCAATTACATAAATGTAATTAAATAATTTGAATCATTATGAATTAAACAAATGGACTCATATTATAGATAGATATTATAGACTCAGCAAAAAAGAAAAATCCCTTTTTTACGATATAGTCATTTAAAGGTATGCTACTGAATGCAAATTTTAAAATGAGTCAATACATCTTCAGTCCTTCTTCCAAAACTATTTTTTTTATTTATTTTTTTTTACCCTCATTTACTATGTTAAGCCTATTATAAGTGTTAATATTTTAGACATGTCGTGGTTGATTTTGCAGGCAATTGTGTACATGCATCACTCACCTGTGTGTGTCTCATCATATCTCTAAATAGAGAAAAGTTGCTACTTTGACACGTGTATGGTGTGCGAGCGGCATAGGTTAGCCAGAAAAGTGTACATGGAGCATGTTAAATATTGGCCTCTGGGAATCACCTGTCTTAAAAAATCATTAAACAGGGGTGAGTCTACTGACAAAAAGATAATGCGTCAGAGTTGGGCTGAGCCAAACAAGATGGGTTGAGCCTAGTTAGTACCTGGATGGGAGACCTCCTGGGAAAACTAGGTTGCTGCTGGAGGAGGTGTTTGTGAGGCCAGTAGGGGGCGCTCACCCTGTGGTCTTTGTGGGTATAGTGATGTGTATAGTGATGGGGTATAGTGTATAGTGATGGGGACGCTAAACTGTAACAAACATCATCCTTCGGATGAGATGTTAAGCCGAGCTCCCGACTCTCTGTGGTGTGGTCATTAAAAATCCCAGGATGTTCTCCGAATAAAAAGAGTAGTGGTGGAACCCCACCATCCTGGCCAAATTTTGCCCATTGGTCTCTGTCCTCCTAATCATTCATATCAATACTGATTGGTTTCATTACTCTGACTCTTAATATTTTAGCATTTTCTTATACAGTTTTATCCTTAAAGATATTTTTTTTATTTCAGAAACCCAAAATTGTTATCTCTTGAATATGTTCATTTCTTTATTTTATATGCAAAAAAATCCATCCTTAAGCAAGTGGCTTAAATCTTCTTTGTTTCATCCCTCAGGTCTATAAATAACAAAACAAAAAAAATTAAATGCATTATGATGAATTATTCAAAGATATATCTAATACTAAGATATAAGCAAAACAATGGTATTTATGTTTTTCTGTTTTTAGTTTTTGTCAATTTGATTGTTCATTGTTAAAGGTCCAACAATTGTGTTTTTTCCTTATCTTTATATATAAGTATTTAATTATAAGTTCTGCAATAAAAAGAACGACAGGTCAGGTCAAGTCATTCTCATTTATATAGCGCTTTTAACAATGTAGATTGTTCCAAAGCGGCTTTACAGTGATAACAGAAAATTAAAGTAACAGATTGTTTTGGCTTTATGGCAGCTCTAGAATGATTTTCCAGTTAAAGTTAGATTGAAGTTTTGATTGATTCAGTTCCTTCGCAAAACGATCATTAGTTATTAACTTAGTTATTAGCTAACACGACACCGTTTTAACAGAAAACTCTTCTAAAGTTCTCTATGCAAACTTTAAAAACGCGAACCTGTGAGAACGCTGATAGCGTGCACATGCGTATTAAGAGTTCATTCTGTAGGTATGCACGTTTGAATATACACCACCGGTCAAAAGTTTTAGATCAGCAAGATTTTTTATGTTTTTAAATGAAGTCTCTTCTGCTCACCAAGGCTGCTTTATTTGATGAAAAAAAATGACAAACAGTAATCTTGTGAAATATTATGACAATTTAAAATGACTGTTTTCTATTTTAATATATTTTAAAATGTAATTTGAAAGCTGAATTTTCAACATTTTCAACAAACTTTTGAATGGTAGTGATTAATGTTACAAAAACTTTCCATTTCAGATCAATTCTGTTCTTTTGAACTTTCTATTCATCAAAGAATCCTGAAATAAAAATGTAAAAAAAACAGTTTTCAACATGGATAATAATCATAAATGTTTCTTGAGCATCATATTATAATAATTTCTGTAGGATCATGTGACACTGAAGACTGGAGTAATGATGCTGTAAATTCAGCTTTGATCACAGGAGTAAATTACAATTCACTACTATATTCACATAGAAAACCACTGTTTTAAAATAATATTTCACAATATTGCTGTTTTTTTAATCAAATAATTGCAGCCTTGGTGAGCAGAAGAGACTTTCTTTAAAAACATAAAAAATCTTACCGATCTAAAACTTTTGTAGTGTATGTGCAAAAACCCGTAGTGTATGTGCACAGGCAAGTAGTCCTTCCCAAAAAAACAGCCCACAACATACTACTTGTCTGGCCTTAAAATGTATAATACAGAATTGTAACGCTTCGGTGCCACGTGAACCGGAATTATCCTGACAACGATTATCTGTACAGAGGTAAAGGGAGGGCGGCCTTCCCAAAAAACGGATTAAGAATAGTATGTCATTAAAGTTTATGTGCATGTAAAGGCAGACGTCCCAAAACTTTTGGCAATAGTGTATTTATTTGCTGGCAACCCATCAAAATAAAATATTGATGGTATATAATTGAAAAATTGAAAATTGTACATCCAACATAAATTGCATGTAGTACATTTTGCTCAAAAATACCGATTGAACTTGGACAATGGGTAAAAAAATAACGTTAGTTGTTTCTCCATCCTCCAAATCTGCCGTCACGTCTTGCTATATAATCGTAATAGACCATTTCACAAGATGTAAACAACACTGGTCCAGAAGCACTTCCTGTTTCAGTTTTTTAACACTACATAAAAGCTGGGATAAAATACAACCAACAGAACATTTAAAACTGAATCAAAAAGTTAAACAAACATCTTTAAGATGTTTTCTTTACATGTGAAATAAAGAAAACAGTTACAAACTGAAACAGGAAGTGCTTCTGGACCAGTGTTGTTTACATCTTGTGAAATGGTCTATATGGGTGTGTTAACCCACTTCTGTACGTCAGTGAACCGTTTGCCACAAGATGCGTGATTAAACAACAGGTGGTGGTAATGGCAAAAAATTAGTTTGTAATCTAACAAGAAGAATATCCTTGCATCGCACTGATTCCCGCAGGCTCGACAAACGCAATGTAGCTTTTGCTTGCTGCAAAAAGTAGTTTGCCACTGGAAAAGCTACACTGTTTAAAAAGCAACTGAGCTACTGCCAAGCTACTGAAAAATGTAGTTAAGTTAGTAGCGTCGCTACTTGTAGTTAACCTCTCCCTAACACTGGTTTTATATAGTTAATAATGATTACAATACATTTTTTTTGACATATTCTTGTCAAGAAAATGGATATGTGGCCAATGAAAACTTATTTTGACCTTGAAAACGATTTTGAGACATGCTGTTGATAATTTGAAATCACCAAAAGAAACACACCCTTACCCAAAAGAATCACACCCCTATCTTGATAGCTCCGCATTGAAATTCACAAACACCCTTATTGGTGTGTTCGACGTCATGCTGTGCTGCACGGAACTATGCCAGTTAGACATTAGGCTTGTTTGAGATGCGCCTCGCCTCGCCTGCAATGTAGTCGAGAGTAGGCGGCTGCAGTAAGAGGAGGAGTGAAAAAAGCGCATTCAAGCAGGACAAATCTAGGTTCTCGCAGTGAATCAGACACATGTGAGATCAAAGTCTGATATCGCGGGATTCACGCTCGTGCATGTGTTGCTCAGATATCTATGGTGTTGCTAATAAACTGGATGTGATTTAAGTTCTGTTGCTTTTATATGAAAATAAATATAATGAACAAGACACCCAAAGCACTTGTTATTTAATTAGCCTACATTCCAAATATGTGTTTATCAATCATTTTTTATTTAATACAGACGTGTTTTTATATATTTTTTTTTATTATAAAAATTACATCACATAATAACCCATATGGCACTGTCAGAGTTTATTCACCCATGTATACACATAAAACACGATATCAGTTTTAAAATCAAACATTTTAAAAGAGAACAATTCATCACTGTTATTTTTTTTATTTTTATTTATTTTTTTTTATTATTAGAATGCAAGTTACAAACATACAAGCACCACAATTCGTGAAACAAATATAATACAGCGACAAATAAATAAACATCAGAATAAAATGAATAATAAAAAAATCTAAATAAATCAAAATAAGCTTAGCTTAAATAGACAGACTTACAAAATTCATTATCTATAAAATGAGAGATATTTTCCTAATTTTCACTTGAACATTTAAGAGTAGGCCTATATTTGAGTTACTGACATAGCTTTCTTATTTTTAACCCGTTTAAGAGACTCACGATATATATATCAGTTTCAATTTGAAATAAATTAAAACATGGCCTTGATTTGGAGAATTTAGCTTTATGAATATGGAATTTACCTACATCACTGTTGTTTAAACCAATGAGCATTAAGCTGTGTCGTCAGCAAGTCGTTTCCCATCATGCTTTTGATCAGCGCAGTCGGTGGAGAGCAACTGCGCGCGACTGCAGAATCAGACCCTTCCGCCTTGCGCTCGCGAGAGTTTTTTGACATACGTCGGCATGACATCAGAGCCAGGCGGACCGTTCTCGGACACATTTCTAACCGGCATGCATCTCGCGCTGATCACCGGTGATCGATTCTGCGCAGAATTTGCTCATCTCAAACAAGCCTATTTTCTCCGAATTGAGACAGCAATAACGCTACGTCACTGGTGACGTATGGCATCAGAGTATTGCGAGAGCAAATCTAGAGCAGACGGCTGACTCGACCAGTGCAGTTTCTCCAGAGCGCCTGCACTAGCTCTGATGATAACACATCTGTTCCATGATTGGCTTGATTCACTGCATGACAACGATCACGTCACAAATCCAAATTTTTAGCGTAAAAGCTCTTTTCATGTGGTCGCGATTTTATATTGTGTCATTTAAATCAAAATAAAACTGATAAAAACAGACCTACTTCATTTGTATTTGAATAGTATAGGCTTATGTCCAACTTTATTGTTGTACAGTGCAAATATTGCATTTAATTAAGCTTTTCCTGTCGGCCACCGAAACTTCTGTTGGTCGCAACCTCATCGCTAGATGCCGCTAAAAATGATACACTGTACCTTTAAGTGGAAAGAGACCTTTTTCCCATGATGTTCACGTTTAAGTTGGTTCTTATTGGTTTTTGGCTCTTGTACTGTATATGAACACTTAAATATATAGCTATTCAAGTAAAAAAATTGTGTATATTTTCATATCGCAATATGTAGAGATGTTTTTACAAAATAATTATACTTTTCAACAGGAAAAATCTTATTTCTCATTGCGCTACTAGGGGGCTCTCTGAAGACAACGGCAGAGGCGGATGCAGAATCCCTGCAAGCTCAGTGGTGGGATCGTGAGTCTCCACTTCCTCTTCGTGCACGTGACATACTGCCCCTCATTGATGCTGGAATAAAATATCGCCAAAATCCTTGGTTTCCTGCATTACAACCTGTTGACTTCCCTTGTCACGTTATTTGCCAAAGACTTTTCATCACATTCGTCTCCAGCAGTGGTAGCTCTGACACCCGTGATGAGGACTGCCTGTGGCTTCTGCTGAGCAATAATAATGCCAGTTCTCATCCCAGTCTTCCTATTGAAGTATCAGTTAACACATACATCTCGTGGGCTGCGCACAGACTGATTAAGGAGTGCATACCTTCATCTTTCGCATTCATAAACATTATTATATGTGGCATTCTGGGAGTGCAGCACAATGGGAGAACACCAGGGAAAACGGACGGCATTTGCTTCAACACACTTGTGTTAATGGAAAATTCAGAGGGTGGGCCTGAAATCAGCTGCCCACCACCATTGGAGAGTGACAGTTACAGATGGCATGAAGTGACCAATCAGAGCCTCAGGGCAAAGATAAAACAGAGGATTAAAGATAGGTCTGTTCTGCCTGTTCAAAGTCAATACTGATGCTCTACTCTGCCACTGCATTTCACATGAGAACCAAAGCTCAACATGTATGCTAACTGTTAGGTCATGGCTCAAAATATGGATTAATAACCTTGCACGTTTAAAATATTAATCTTGAACCTCATTTAATTCTAACATATCTCCAATATATCTATAAATATACATATATACACCGGTATATATATATATATATATATATATATATATATATATAAACACAATTATTTTAAAAAGCAAAGATTCTGAAAGTATTTAATGAGAAGGGATTGAATGAGAATGAAATTATTAACAAGTTTTTGTTTCTTCACTCCTCCGTACACTTTCATTACATACCGTGACTGATATTCTTTTAAAGTATATTATTTCCATTAGTACTTTCTTTAAAAGTACGCCAACATGTACTAGATTTTCAGAAGGGACTTTGGACATTAAGGACACTATTATATAACACATAGCACTGTTTTCACCACAGTCATCTATATCAATAATTTAATATAAATGAATGCTGTTTGGAAAATCTGAGAAAAGAGTTTATATTTGATCACTTAAATTTTTATATATATTTAATATGATAAATACGTATGTAAGATGTTATGAAATGATGCATTTCACCTTAAGTTACAAAATAATATGTATAATAAACATTTATGAAGTCTGTCTTTTACCTGCCTGTTTATTTTATATTTGCCTAATACATTATTTGATGGCTATAACGGGCATGTACACAAACATGAAAGTGACTCCAGCCATGCCACAGATTTAAGAACCAGTGTGATGTACCTCTGAGAAAAGAGTTCTACCTCCATATGAATCAATCTGGTTAACATTTTATAACATTATTATAATATATTCTATAAAATCAATTATATCATCAATAATAAAATCAGTCAATTATTGAATAATGTGGACTAATGAGGAAATAATCGTACAGGGTTCTTGGGGTTTGTTTGCCTTCTGAATGTTTATACTATACTATACTGTTTATGTAAAAAAAATGTATGTAGCCTATATCATTTAATAGTTCACCAAATCATCTGAGTGTGTAACTTTTTTCAGGATTGTCCTAATGGTTTTTGGCAATACGCTATATCATTGGCTAATGACTTTCGTTTCTGTCATAAGGTGTTGCAAAATCCGAAAACAGGAATAATGTAAATTCGAAAGGGGATGTCAACTCATAATCATACAGCGATTACTGATACAGCTTTTAACAGATATTTTAAGACTATTATGTGATACCGGCTAGCAGGTATATCTAAAAAAGAACCTCATCTAAGGTCTATCTGTTTTCTTTGGCTTAAAATGAATGAATGAATGATGAAACACGAGATGTTTTAAACATCTCGGTTACTAACATAACCTCGGTTCTCTCTAGAAGTGTTAGAGTGTTGCGTAAGCTAGCTTACGCAATGGGAAAAACTCTTTTCTTGAGAATACCGAAGCCAAAAATTATCCTTATAATTTTACATTAATTTAAAACGCATTTGCTGCGACGTGCAGACCTAGAGGCAGCTCGCACGCCTATTGGCTGCTCTGCGGCAACTGCTGCAACCCACAAAGAGGCCATGGCTCTAGTTGAATGAGCTCTTACTCCCAGAGGGCAACAACGGCCTTTAGATATATTAGCCAGTGAGATAGCGTCCACTATCTACCTAGAAAGACTATGTTTTGACGCAGCTAGACCTTTAGAGCGGCCACCAAAAGAAACAAAGAGCTGTTCTGATTGTCTGAAAGCAGCCGAATGTTCCACGTAAATTCTCAGGGCCCTAAATGGGCAAAGGATATTCACGTCAGATTAGCTGTAAGATCCAGAGAGGGCTGACAGAGAAATGACTTGCGCTCTGAATGGAGTGGCAAGCCCTTTGGGGACATGACCATGTCTCGGTTTGAGGATGATCTCGGTTTGAGTCATTAGGCCCAAACTCAAGGCACGACGCGTGTAAAAGAAAGTGCGTGTAAGTCACCCACCCGCTTGACTGAGGCGATAGCCACCAGAAAGGCGGTATTCAACAACAGATACTTAAAGGGTTAGTTCACCCAAAAATGAAAATGAAGTCATTAATTACTCACCCCCATGCTGTACCAACCCCGTAAGACCTTCGCTCGTCTTCGGAACACAAATGAAGATATTTTTGATTAAATTTGAGAGCTGTATAACTACCACACTTAGATTTCCACGACGCATGCGCGAGAATTGCGATCTGAAGTAGTGTAAAGCAGATCGCAATTCTCGCGCATGCGTCGTGGAAATCTAAGGAAATCTCGTTTCTGGCCTACAAGGAAGAAAAGAAATAGTCGAATAAACTCGTTATTTTTGTTTGTTTTTTCGCACAAAAAGTATTCGCGTCGCTTGATAAACATATAGTTGAGCCACGGTAGTCACTTGGGATATTTAAACATTTTTTTCATTGACTTTCTGGGCCGTCAAGAGGCAGTCCCTTAGGAGCCAATGTGGTAGTTATACAGCTCTCAAATTTAATCAAAAATATCTTCATTTGTGTTCCGAAGACAAACGAAGGTCTTACGGGGTTGGTACAGCATGGGGGTGAGTAATTAATGACTTAATTTTCATTTTTGGGTGAACTAACCCTTTATGGTCCAAATACTGTAGAGGCTCAAAAGGAGCACCCTTATTGGCCTCTAGGACCAAGGAAAGGTCCCATACTGGAACCGAGAGGGGTTGAGGGGGGTTCATCCTTCTAGCTAGCCTGAGAAAGCGGACTACAAGGTAATTTCTATCTAGTGACTGGCCGTGCGAATGTTTGACAAACGCAGTAATTCATACTTTGCAGTCATGTGACTACCATGGATGCCTGGTGGGCAACAAACAGGTATTTTCAACGTAGAGTCCTGTAGTTCCAGGTCTTTCAAGTAGCTATCAAGTTTGTTAGAGATTATAAAGCAGACAAGGTTTCTTTAGATAATCGAGCATTAATAATTCCTCCGTAAATAATCTAGCTCTGCTCTTCTCAACGAAAACCATAGATATCACAAACCTCAAAACAACCTATCACACACTTTTGCTGTTGTTAGCAAAATACAGACACTCTTGCCTACTACTCCGCGCTTTGCTCTATCACTTTTATATATTTTTAATCGCTCCATCGCTTTTATACTTTTATATTTGATCTCCTTTATCACCTAATTTTTACTTAAGAAAATCAGCACAGTGCTGAAACGCTTGATTCAGCACATTTTTACTACAAAAAAGCAGGACCAGCCTCCCACTGAAAGCTTAAATTCCGGGGAAGGTAAAACACAACTGCCTACATTCTAAAGGATAAGAGAAAGTCTCTCTTCTGGAATCTATTAGCTGCACTAACTGCCAGAGACATTTACAAAGGATTGCAGTTCTTGAAACAAAGTTTGGACCACCAAACCAGGCGGAACACACAACAGAACTTCATCATGGACGCCCTCAGCATGCAACCGGTGAGTCCCATGAATCTAGTGCTCAAATACAGGCCATACTGAGTGTAGAGAAACAAGCCGATCAACTTACAAATCAATGGCACAAACAGGGAGTGAGACCCAAAGGCACTCGCATGTGCATCACATGTGCAGTAGCATCCTCTACCCTAGATACGGCTCTGGAAACGATTGCAAACACTGATCTTCTACCACCGCCTATACATCTTGAGAACAGATTTGAAGTATTAATGAATGAGGAATCCTTCAATGAGATCGAACACAGACTGAATCAGCCAGTAGCTAGCAATGCTAACTCAAGGTCGAGCAAACAGCAGCACTCAGCTAAGAGCACAGCCAAGCACAGGACTCTGATAGTGGGTGACTCCACAATCAGAAACATTATTAGCAGGGATACAACTACGTGCTTCCTTCCACAAGCAACAACTTCTGATGTAAATAAGAAACTTTAGAACATTCTGATGAAACATAAGACTGCAAATCGACTCATCATTCATGTGGGGAAAAATAGTATTCATAAAGAGCAGTCAGAACTCCTTAAGACGGATATTAATGAACATTTTGAAACACTTAACAGACTGAAAGTTCAGACATTCATCAGTGGACCACTCCCAGCAAGAGGAACAAACAGGTTTTCACAGTTGCTTGGGCTGAACACATGGCTACAAAAAACCTGCAATATAAAAAGGTGTGAACTTTATTGACAACTTCAATCTTTTCTGGAGTCAGAGGCAACTGTTTCAATGGGATGGGCTCCACCCAAACAAACTTGACTCAAGAGTACTAAAGGACAATATCTACTTCTCCCTCAATCATCCTTCTGCAGTATGTGACAATCTACTCAACCTGTAAGGCATACAGTACACACACACCTGGACACAGTATGAATGACCACATGACTTGACATATCACAAAAGGACAATGATAACACCATGCAGCCACAACTTCTGCTCACGGACACAATCTCAGCAGAGTCCTGCCCACAGAGCTCACCACAGACAGACCGGGACATATTAGAACTGCTCCAAGATTCAGCTCCCAAGGACAACTTTCTGTAAAACAGCGAGGGAAACCAGGACAGCATATTACAGCCTCCGACAACACCAGAGCAACAGCTCCTCTCCCCAGACACATTATCCCTCTCTCCAGCATCTCCACTTCTATGCTTCTCAGACAAAATGGAAAAACTGGTGTACTGTTATCTGGAACCAAACTATCCCAACTCTTTTGCGTCAAGCCCCCAGCAGGCCCCACAACCACCCAAAGCCTGCGGGCCCAGCCCCTCCTCCTCTACCTCCTCCTGTGAGAGCTCATTGGCATCATTGGCATCTGGGACTTTATGTTTCTAAATGAAACTTGGTTAGAAGACAGCTGCAGTGGAACAGTCCACAATGAAACATCACCTCCTAACTTTACTTTCATGAGTGTCTGCAGAGCGGGTAAGAGAGGCGGGGGCTTAGCTGCTCTTTTTAAAGATGTCTATGAATGTAAGCAGATATCATTTGGGAATTACCCGTCTTTCGAATATCTGGGTATTGTGTTAAAAGGTTGACAAGGCCATGGTGTCGCACTCGGGACATCCGCCCTTGGACAGTGCACGTGCACCATAGTGATATGGCGGTCCCTGTTGGCGAGAGGGGCTCTGCACGGGCCAAAGGAGATACGAGGCATTTGCAGCAATGCCTCGGCTCTTTTCGACACAAGAAATGCGAGTGTCGAAGCGGCGAGGGAGCGTGAAAGGATATAGGCGCCGAAAAGCGCAGCAAGAGAAGACGACCGGCTTCCTCAGTGATCTCGTCCCGCTGAAAGGGTGTTCGATGGTGCAGGCTTCTTCTCGAAGATCCAGCAATGCGAAGGCTTCGCTGAAGAGATGAAAATAAAGGCGCATCCTATCGAGCTCTGGCGTAAATAGGCATAAGCCACGCTCATTCGCACAGGACGTGACGCCAGCATCGTCATTGGTGCTTACGTCACAAGCGGTCCCCCGATAGATTGCAGAAGTTGCCGCAGAGCAGCTAATAGGCACGCGAGCTGCCTCGCCTACCTGTCTGCTCGCTGCAGCAAATGCATTTTTAAATGAATACAAAATTATAAGGATAATTTTTGGCTTCAGTATTCTCGAGAAAATAGTTTTTTCCCTTACAGCAACACGAGAGTACTCTCGTAAGAGATCTAAAACATAATTTGTCGGTTTCGACTTTTGTTCAAACATTGTTTTTTTTTTAAAGATGTG